GTCTAGGCAAAATTCATAATTAGCGTTGCATGGTCTTCGGCGGCTACTGTATTTTAATCATGATAGGATGCTGAGTTTTGAAAAAATCTCTTCAAAACCTGAGGTCTGTAACAAACGGCTACATAAATAGTTTCCTTTTGTCCATTAATTTGCATTACCTTTATAAATTCGACTGTACTTCATAGAGAAAAGTTATACAATTTTCTTGCGATATTAATTTGTTGGCGGATTAAGTCTCTATTGTATGTAGATTTTTAAACTATTGATACATTTCAGATTTTGAAAGCGGTCGAAAGGCTTGGATATTTTTCAACTTAACCTAATGGTAAACTTCCACACAGGGTTTCTAAATTTTAACTTGTATACTTTATATGCGTATTTTAAGAAATATAGCACTGGTAAAATGGTGTATTGAATAGAAAACCATATAATATACATTTCACACAGCATTCGTAAATGGAGAAATCTGACGCATTCAATGTAATCCATATGGTATACCAACAATACATAATGCTTCATAAATGAACATTTCACGGGCATAAAAAAGTTCATACAGAAAAGCTTGTTTTAATACAAAAAACCTATATACGTTTTGATGAAGACGCCTTTGCCTACCAAATGAGGTCAAAAAAGCTATTTAAAAAATACCAGCTGTTTAAGTTGGCACTTTGTTGCAAATGCAGTTGCTGGAAGTGTCTGGAAAGAAGCTTGGATGAAGATGACTTTATGGCTGCTCGTACGAGACACGGGAATAGCAACGACCTGCCTACATACAATATATAGCCGTCTGGTAACGTTTAAGAAGGTGTAAGAATCCCTTGCCTTAACCCTAACAACAACAAAAGTATACTATTACCTTAGTCTTAATCGCAGCCTTATCCTACCGCTAACACGAAACGAAACCTTTCCATAATTTCGGCCCTTTCTCCCATCCTGACCTTAAACCCAACCTTGAACCTGACTCTTACGTTAATCCTCATCCCACATTACCTGGAAACTTTAGGCGAAACCGCATGCTTTTTCAGGCGAGTATTTGAGTCACCAAATAGCATTGCCAGCAACGACAAGGCAGACTGGAATGACCATTTCCGGTTCATTAGCCGGCATCAGCCGGTCACACCCAACCACCAATGTTGCATCATCTCAGGCTCACATTCGCGAACTTTTCGTTGAAAGTGTAACACTCTAATCATTGAGCTACGAGCTTGCCGGTTTAGATCGGGACGCATTGGCATTCGTTGAGGAACGTTCACGGACCGCTAACGGAACTCACTCAATTCGCTGGGGCGCTTTTCAAGTTTCGTTATTGATCGGAGAAAGTTCATCATCACCTCTAGTCTAGACATTAGCCGCGTGATTGGCTACTGTAACAAAGCACCCGCCGGCCATCCGGCTATTCCCGGCACTGTCCTCACTCCGGAATTGACGCCCTGGCAGCCGGACTGCAGTTATCCGAGAGTCAAAACTCTTTCCATCGATGCTTCTATCCTTCTGCAGAATACACTATGCCTAACAATCTGGCTGTCCCAACGTCTTTTCTCTTCACCTTAAGGAACGATGGGCCTAAAAGATCGTAGCTGTTAGGGTTAAGTTTCTGAGCCTTAACACCTGTTGGTAGCACCTCAATGGTTAGAGCGTTGAAATTCTGATCAAAAGGTCGCGGATGTGCGCCTTGACTGATGCACCAATTCCGATTAGCTGAAGACGGCTAATGAGCCAGAAACTGCTATTCCAGACTCCTTTGTCTTTGTCGGCCATGCTTTCTGCCTAGAATCCTAACCATTTTTGCATCTGATGTCAGGCCTAGGAAATGCGCTCCAGGGCAGAGCGAGACGAGTGAAATTCTTCAGCGATCGGTGAACATTTAGCAAGGAATACGAGTTGTCCCTATCGAAACTTTTTCAGAATTTGACCTTCTGTTGATTTCCTGGGATTATGTTGCGGGATAAATAATATTGCAACATTACTTACGTAGATAGGTCAGATCAGGTGTTAATTCTTGTCTAATGCTTATCATAAAAACACTTAAGAACCAGCCCATTTCAGGGCGAGCAACTCTATTGTGCATACATCCAGTATGGCGAGTGCTGTAAGCAAAATGCGACAATTTGCGAAAGACTGATAACTACTTACAAACCTGCATTAAGTAGGGTCGCCATACCGATTATCGCACAGTCAAATCTCGAATTTCTTCAGTCGCTCCAGGATGCCGGCTTTTTAAGGAGCTTTTTACTGACCGCCAAGACAAAGCATGTACTATAAAAAGTGACTACTTAAGTAGTATGCCCTTTTGTCATTAATTCCGACTGCCTTTATAGATTCAAATATATGTTTTGAAAAACATGCACGAAAAAAATACTTCTTGTACTCCTTTGGTAGAAAATAACGCCTTCTTTAAATTTAACACTTAAAGAAAGGGTATCTTTCGGTTTTAAAAAAAAGTTTCTAAATTGCCGAATAATTTTGAAACCTAGTGACCGCTGCATTGGAATTCGAGGTTTAAAAACTGCGCACTGTGTACATCCTGTTTAAGGAGAAATACGTTGTCGCCTACAGCTTGAGGAAGATCTCACATAGTTCTGATAAAATGTTGCAGTAGATGTGGAGCATGCTTTATACAGTATAGGCAGCATTAATAAATGACGGGTACGGTGTTCTCTGAATGAACACCTGAAAATTGTAAAAGAGCTCATAATTAGAATTATTTTTAAAAACGAAAGATACTATTTCCTTAAGTATAACACTTAACGAAGGCGTAATTTGCTACCGAATGAGTACAATAAATAATTTTATCGTGCGTGTTTTCTG